CCATCCATCCATCCATCCATCCATCCATCCATCCATCCATCCATCCATCCATCCATCCATCCATCCATCCATTTTCTTTCTCTTTATCCGGGCCGGGTTGTGGCGGCAGCAGTCTAAGCTGAGATTCCCAGACTTCCTGATCCACACACACCTCCACCAGCGGCTCCCCAATGCAACACCAGGCCAGCTCAGAGACTTTAGACTTTAGACAGATTTTATTTGTCATTTTGTGTACATAAGTTTACATAAGAAATTTCGTTTGGAAACAGCCCACAAGACAATTTCATCTTTAAAAGTGCATAGTTCTAACAAAAAATAAAAATAAATGAATATATATATATATATATATATATATATAAAATGATAAAATATAATAAATATAATAATAAAATACAATACAATAACCCATTTTACACAACAGTTCATCAGTCTGATGGCGGTGGGGAAGATGCTGTTTCTGAACCTGCTGGTCCTGCATTGAATGCTGTGAAGCCTCTTCCCAGAGGGCAGCAGGGAGAACAGTCCATGGTGGGGGGGTGAGGGGTCATTGATGATGTCACGGCCTCGGGTCACGCAGCGCTGGGACCTGCAGCCTCCACACCACACAGTGAGACAGCTGGTCAGAACGCTCTCTATGGTGCTTCTGGAGAAGGTGGGGAGGATGAGGGGTTGGGGGCTTTGGGAGTTGTAGTCCGTGATCATCCGAATGCCTTTCCACATCCTCCTGGTATTGCTGTCATCGTGGAAAAGATCCTGGATCTTCTGGCTGTGGTTCTGCGTCACTGATCTGATGGCATGGTTTAACATGGCACGGGCTGTTCTTAGTTTCTTAGCTGTTGTTAGAGACATAGTCCCTCCAGCGTGTCCTGGTCCTTCCACCAGCCCTCCTCCCAGTAGGACATGCCTGGAACACCTCCCTAGGGAGGCGACCAGGAGGCATCAGGAACAGATGCCTAAGCCACCTCAGCTGGCTCCTTTCGACATGGAGGAACAACGACTCTACTCTGAGCTCCTCCCGGGTTACTGAGCTCCTCACCCTTCATTTCAGCCGCTTGTATTTGCAATCTTGTCCTTTCGGCCATTACCCACATCTCATGACAATAGGTGAGGGTGGGAACATAGATCGATTGGTAAATCGAGAGCTTTGCCCCCGGCTCAGCTCCCTCTTTACCCTGACAGTCCGATGCAGTGACCGCATCACTGCAGACGCCACACCGATCCATCTATTGATCTCACGCTCCATTTGTCCCTCACTCATGAACAAGACCCTGAGGTACTTCAACTCCCCCACTTGAGGATTCTCCATCGACCTGAAGAGGGGAGCCCATCTTTCTCTGGTGGAGAACCATGGCTTCGCATTTGGAGGTGCTGATCCTCATCCCAGGCAGCTTCACACTCGACTGCTAACCCATAGTACATGTCGAAGTTCATGGTTTGATGAGGCCAAGAGAACAACATCATTTGTATTTGATTCAGTCGATTGCAATATTCTTTTAAAAAAAGCTTAAATATTCTGTAGGATTTAAAGGAACAGCACTAGGTCAGTTTAAATCTTATCTATCTGACTGATTTCAGTTTGTTCACGTTAATGATAAATCTTCCTCATGCTCCAGGGTTAACTGTGGAGTATCACAGGGTTATGTGCTAGGACCAATTCCCTTTACTATTCATATGCTCCAAATCGCAGGAATTATTTGACAGCATGGGATTCATTTCCACTGGTCTGCTGATGATACTCTGGTATATTTGTCCTTAGTAGTGCATAGACAAAAACATTAGACTAGCAAACATGAAAGTTGAAAAGCTATTTAATCTGAAAAACTCACACGAAGAGAAAAGATAATTAGAAGAAATTTATTTATACAATTACTTAGTCTTTGGTGCTCAGACCTCAGCAGGAAATATAGCGCTTAATTTTGATAGATATGAATGAACAGGAGTAAAGAAC